TTTTTTTGATATTGAGCTGCATGAGCTGTTTGTATAGTTTGGAGATTAATCCTTTGTTGCTTCATTTGCAAACATTTTCTCCCATTTTGAGGGTTGTCTTTCCTTGTGCACTTGAGAAGTGAGTGTATTCTGCCGCTTTCTGGTGGAATGTCCTATAAATATCAATTAAATCTGTCTGGTCTGTTGTGTCATTTAAAGCTTGTGTTTCCTTATTTTCTGTCCGGATGATCTGTCCATTGGTGTAAGTGGGCTGTTGAAGTCCCCCACTATATTGTGTTACTGTTGATTTCCCCTTTTATGGTTGTTAGCATTTGCCTTATGTATTGAGGTGCGCCTATGCTGTGTGTATAAATACTTAAAATTGTTGGATTGAACCCTTGATCATAATGTAGCGTCCTCCCTTATCTCTTGTCACAGTCTTTATTATAAAGTCGATTTTATCTGATATGAGTATTGCTACTCCAGCTTTCTTTTGATTTCCATTTGCATGGAATTATCTTTTTTCTATCCCCTCACTTTCAGTCTGTATGTGTCCCTAGGTATGAAGTGGGTCTGTTGTAGACAGCATATATATGGGTCTTCTTTTTGTATCCATTCAGCCAATCTGTGTCTTTTGGATGGAGCATTTAATCCATTTACATTCAAGGTAATTATCAATATGTATATTCCTATTACCATTTTCTTAATTGTTTTGGGTGTGTTTTTGTGGGTCTTTTTCTTCTCTTGTGTTTCCCGCCTAGAGAAGTTCCTTTAGCATTTGTTGTAAAGGTGGTTTGGTGGTGTTGAATTCTCTTATTAGCTTTTGCTTGTCTGTAAAACTTTTGATTTCTCCATTGAATCTGAATGAGATCCTTGCTGGGTAAAGTAATCTTGGTTTTAGGTTTTTCCCTTTCATTATTTTAAATACATCCTGCCACTCCCTTCTGGCCTGTAGTTTCTGCTGAAAAAATCAGTTGATAACCTGATAGAGATTCCCTTGTATGTTATTTGTTGCTTTTCCCTTGCTGCTTTTAGTAGTTTTTCTTTGAATTTATTTTTTGTTAGTTTGATTAATATGTGTCTTGGTGTGTTTCTCCTAGGGTTTATCCTGTATAGGACTCTGTGCTTCCTGGACTTGGGTGGCTATTTCTTTTCCCATGTTAAGGAAGTTTTCAACTATAATCTCTTCAAATTTTTTCTCGAGTCCTTTCTCTCTCTCTTCTCCTTCTGGGATCCCTATAATGTGAATGTTGTTGCGTTTAATGTTGTCCCAGAGGTCCCTTAGGCTGTCTTCATTTCTTTTCATTCTTTTTTCTTTATTCTGTTCCACAGCAGTGAATTCCACCATTCTATCTTCCAGCTCACTTATTGTTCTTCTGCTTCAGTTATTCTGCTGTTGATTCCTTCTAGTGTATTTTTCATTTCAGTTGTGTTGTTCATCACTGTTTTTTAGTTCTTCTAGATCTTTGTTAAACATTTCTTGTATTTTCTCAGTCTGTTCCTCATTTTATTTCTGACGTTTTGGATCATCTTTATTATCATTACTCTGAATTCTTTTTCAGGTAGGTTGCCTATTTCATCTTCATTTATTTGGTCTTGTAGGTTTCTACCTTGCTCCTTCACCTATAACATATTTTTTTGTCATCTCATTTTTTTTTTTTTGATGGGTGGGGCTGTGTTCCTGTCTTAGTGGCTCTTTGGCCTGAGGCGTCCAGCAGTGGATTGCAGGCAGTTGGGTAGAGCCGCGTCTTGGTGCCAAGATGAGGACCTCCGGGAGACCCCTCTCCCCTTAATATGCCCTGGAGCCTGAGTTCTCTGTTAGTCCAGAGGTTTGGACTTGGTGCTCCCACCACAGGAGCTCAGGCCCGAACCCTGGCCTGGGAACCAAGATCTTGCAAACAAACAAACAGAAGAGCTGAACAATAACAATAAATAAAATTAGAGAAATAAAAAATATATTAGAAAAAATAAAAATATAAATGAAACAACAACAACAAGGTAAAACAGGGACTTCCCTGGTGGTCCAGTGGGTAAGACTCCGTGCTCCCGGGTTTGATCTCTGGTCGGGGAACTAGATCCCACATGCATGCTGCAACTAAGAGTCCACATTGCCACAACTAAAGATCCGGTATGCTGCAACGAACACCCCGTGTGCTGCAACTAAGACCCAGCATAGCCAAAACAAACAAATAAATAAATAAATACAACAAGTTAAAACAACCACAACAGCAAAAAAAAAAGAAAAGGCCTTGGCTGTGCGGGGCGGGGCTTAGGCTCTGGACCCTCGCAGCCAGAAAAGGCCCTGAGTGGGCGGGGCAGGCGCAGGGCTTAGGCTCAGCGTGCCTGGAGGGGGCCTCAGAGTGCGGAGGATCAGGCCTGGGACCTCAGCAGGCTCCCCGGGGCCCGAGTGGGCGGGGGAAATTCTGGCTGTGTTCCCTTCTGATCCTCTGATCCCCCAAGGGTCTCTCCCTGTCCCCGTTGATCCCCTCACTGTGAGTGGGCCCCTCCCCCAGCCACCCCTCAGGGATGCTGGTCCTGTCCTGCCTCCACTTCTCCTCCCCTCTCCCTCCCCCGCAAGTCCTACCCCGTCACTTGGGAGTTCCTCCCGTCCCCTTAGGTGTCCGAGGTCCCCCACCAGCACCTGGTAGGTGCCCTAATTGTGAGGAGATGCAAACTCCACATCAGTAAGTTTTTTTAAAATGCATGCTGATATGACAGCTGTCACAATACAATCTAACAAAACTGTTTCAAATGAAGGTAAAGACATCTAAGTGCTACTAGAGCCATCTTACAGAAAAACCCAAATGAACTTTTTGGCCAACCCAATAAGAGAGACCCAAGTCAAACTTCTGGTCATAAAAACTACAATATCTGAAATAAAAAATACCCTGGGGCTTCCCTGGTGGCGCAGTGGCTGAGAGTCTGCCTGCCGATGCAGGGGGACGTGGGTTCGTGCCCCGGTCCGGGAAGATCCCACATGCCGCGGAGCGGCTGGGCCGGTGAGCCATGGCCGCTGAGCCTGCGCTCCGCAGCGGGAGAGGCCACAACAGTGAGAGGCCCGCGTACCGCAAAAAAAAAAAAATACACTGGATGTGATTAACATCAGGTTAGACATTGAAGAATAAAAAATTACCAAACTCGAAGACCAGAAATGAAAACTTATCACAAATGAAATACAAAGAAAAAAGTTTTTTGTTTTTTTTTTAAGTGAACAGAGCATCAGAGAGCTTTGGGACAATTTCAAGTTACCTAACATTCATGTATTTGGATCCCGGAAAGAGAAGGACAGCAGAAAAATATTTGAGAGGGCTTCCCTGGTGGCGCAGTGGTTGGGGGTCCGCCTGCTGATGCAGGGGACGCGGGTTTGTGCCCCGCTTTGGGAAGATCCCACATGCTGTGGAGCAGCTGGGCCTGTGAGCTGTGGCCGCTGAGCCTGCACGTCCGGAGCCTGTGCTCCGCAACGGGAGGGACCACAGCAGTGAGAGGCCCGCGTACCGCAAAAAAAGAAAAAAAAAAATTTGAGAAATAGTGGCCAAAAACTTCTCAAATTTCAGGAAAACTGTAAACCCACAGATCCAAGAAGCTCAGTAAACTCAAAGCATAACAAACATGAAGAAAACTACACTGAGACACATCATAACCAAATGCTCAAAACCAGTGATAGAAAAATCTTAAAAGCTACCAGGGAAGGAAGGCACAAACAAAAAGTAAGAAAACTAAGGGTGACAGCAGATTTTATGTTGGAAATAATGCAGCTAATAGTGGAGGAATCTCTTTAGGGTACTGAAGAAAAACTCAACCTAGAATTCCATCGCTCCAAAAAATAAAATCTTTCAAAAAGCAAGGCAATGTAAAGACAGTTTTAGACATAAAAGCTGAAAGGATGCATCAGCAGTAGAACTGTGCTACAGGAAATGTTAAAAGAAGCCATTCAAGCAGAAGGAAAATGACAACAGATGGAAATATTAATCTGTACAACAAAATGAAGTGCAGTGTAAGTGGTTACGAAGTAGGTAAATACATAAGGTTTTTAAATTTAACAGTGTGGTGTGGAGTTTATAACAAATGTAAAAATAAGATGTTGGTCAAACAGTAACACGAAGGATTGGAGGAGAGAAATGGAAGTTATAAACAATTATAAAATTTTTATGTAATACAAGAAGTGATATGTTATTTGAATGTATGCTGTGATATATATATACTGTAAACCTTAAAGCAACCACTTAAATAACAAAGCTATAGGTAGCAAGCCAACAAAGGAGAAAAGGGTGATATAAAATGTTTTCATTGCTGTATAGTAGTATCCCACTGTAGGAATATAGCAGTATATTTTATAATGTCCAGTGGGTGGATACTTCAGTAATTTTAGTTGTTGCTAGTACACATTTCTACTTTGAACGTATTTTACATGTCCATTTATGTGAATTACAGGAGTTTCATATAGTTATATGATCTATATGTATATACAGAATTACTGAGTTGAAGCAAGGGTAAGGTCAAATTGTTTTCCAAAATGTTTTCATCAGTTTACATTTCAACAGCAGAATAGGCAATTACCATTACTCCACATCCCCCAAAACATTTGGTATTATCAGTCTTCTTAATTTTAGTCAATCTGGCAGGTATATAGTGGTGTCTCATTATTATCATAATTTGCATTCTCTCGTCCTTTTTATTTTTCATATCTCTTCCTATACCCCTCCTTTATGATCCTTCACTTATCCTGTCAGTGACACCCAGGAGCCTTAGGTCACCTAAAAACAGTGACATTCACACATAAAAAGATCTTATTAAGAGAATCTACTGTGAATTAGCTGCATGTGGCCGTTGGGGCACCAGAAGAAAGTGAAACATCTTTATAGTATTTATGGTAAAGATTTCACTCTGCAAGGGATCATACAGGTGTGTTTCCTTTATACAACTCATTTTCAGTTTGGATCCCTGCTGTGAGATAAAATTTTTTTAATCGTTGTTTGATGGAAAAGAAAAAACAAACATCACTTATGCTCATTTCCCTGCAGGTGTGAAATGAGCAACTCTGAAGATGAGGACCTCCCCCAGCTCTCTTCCCATGCCCTGGCAGCTCTGCAGGAATTTTATGCTGAGCAGAAACAGTACACCGACCTCGGTGGTGATGACAAGTATAACATTGGAATAATAGAAGAGAACTGGGTAAGTTAATGCATTCCCCACCCATCAGGAAGTGTTGGTGTGGAGCCTATTCTGTACCTAGTCCAGTGTTTGTCTGTATCTGACCTAATACCCAAGTTTATCTCACTTGTCACTACGAAGCTGATAACCTGTTCAGGAGCTAAGACAGAAAGCAGTCCACGAACATTTTAAGACAGTATAAATGCAGATTTTCCTAATTCTGACTCTCAGGCTGCCTGGTGATCAGAGGAGGGGACATTTCAGATAGAAGAACAGCGTATCATTATATCCAACACAAACTGTGCTTCCTTCTTGTATGCAGATGCATTCTGTTGGTTGTTACGGAGCCCAGCAATCCTTGAGAAAAGGGAAAAATTGATCATTGCAGTAATGGGGTGACTGGACTTAAACATGTAGTAAAAAAAATAGATGAAACTGAGTTTTTGAGAAGATATTAATAGTTTCTGGGGCACACTGTGTATTTTAATTGTATTTTTATGGTCCAAATAAAAATAGGAATTTAAAAAAGTGAGTTCAGAAAAACTAACCTAACCTGGAATGTAGAAATTTACATTTTTGAAGGAGATAGTTGAGAAATAGATGAGGCTTGAAATTTCTGTCTGTGACTACCCCTTGATAATAGATCTGCCTCTCTTTGCAGCCGGAAGGAGGGGTATGTGTGTGTTTAAGCAGACGTTTACATTTTGTGTCAAGTTCAGATCTCTTAAGTTATATAAAATTTCCCTGTTTACCATCTGTTTGAGACTGGGACAAAAATGTTTCTTTACATTTATTCTAAATGTTCCACTTACTCAGATGCCTCTTTCTCACTGCTTCCCTTCTTTATGTGCTTTTGTCTTTAGCCTGATTCTTTGAATAGTCAATATTAGAAACTTGAAGTACGTTATTATTTTTGAGGTGGTCTTTTTCTCTTTTCCTTCTGCTAATTTAAATACTATGTACTTTTTTCTGATTCTAAAAGTAATCTATGGTTGTTGTAGAAAATATATAAAAACATGAACAAAAAAACAAAAGTCATAACTCCACTACCTGAATTAACTATTTGTATATTTTTGACACTTTCTTTTGGTTTGTTTTGTTTATAAAATTAAGGAGATCTCCCAGGAAGTTGGGGCGGGGGGGGAAAGACGATGATACAAATTATAGAAAGAAAACATAAAATTAGAGGATAAATCCAGGAAGCTCAATATTCAACTAACTGGAGTTCCAGAAAAATAGAACTGAAAACAAAGAGGGGAGGAAACCTTCTAAGAATGATACTAGAAAATTTCCCAGAACCAAAGACCCTCACTAAGACACATTATTATGACTGAAAATTCTGGATATAGGTGACAAAGAAGATCCTAGAACCTTCCAGAGAAAAGCATGACACCTACAGAGTCTCAGGTCTACAAGTCACATTGCACTTCTCAGTAGCTTTACTAGAAACTAGAAAAAAGTGGAGCAATTCCTTCAAGATTTAGAGTGAAAATTTGTTCAGCCTAGAATTCTACACCCAGCTGAGTTATCAGTCAAATGTGAGGATAAAAGTAAAAGGTTTTAGACATGGTAAGTCTCACAGCATTTACCTCCTACGCACCACTTCTCAGAAGCTGCAGGATGTTGGGAGAATTAGGGATAGGTTCAAAGAACCCAAGCAAATGAAACAATCATGTATTATTAACTCTAGGAAAAACGAGGTACCATATATTACTTGGCCCAGCAGTGAACACTGATAATTGATACAGTATATATTGATATAGTAGATATAAATTAAAAGGATAAACTCTATGCCAGTTGTAAAATGATTTCACTCATTCCTCTGTCATAGCAGCTGAGCCAGTTTTGGTACACTCCGGAGACCGCCCTGCGCCTTGCAGAGGAAGCCATGGCAGCTGCTGGGGAAGGTGGCAGGTGAGATCAGTTTCATTTCTCTTTTGCCTTTTAATCTAAAGTAATATTTTAAATGTCCTTCCTAGATGGGACATGGTTGGTAAGAAGGCTGAACTGTAATCTGCAAAACCTGTAGTTTGTGATTCGCAGAACATGAGGAAATAAGAACTGCTTCACTGTTGAGTCTGGGGACACACACAGAAATCTATTCAGTGTAAGATATCTTATCTCTGTTCCTTATTTTAACATGTTCTACCTGTTACTTTTATACCCCTAGAGTTTGCTTTAAAAGAAAAAAATCTTGACCTTTTTGAAGTTTTAAGAATAGATTTTTTTTTTAATTTGGTTTTTACTTCTGTCAAAACTCTGCACGCATATAAAGTCTAATGGTCCTAAAAGACTTGTTCAGAAAATAATCCACTGTTAATTTTCCCCTGGTCCACCCGCTCGCCTTTTCAGCTCTTTCATTGACCTCTTGGTATTTACAGACATTTCTAAATAATGTTTCTCTTGGCACTTCTTGACTTGTCACTCATAGACCTTATTCCTTGACTTCTCACTTTAAGAGAATGAGGACTTGGCTCCCTTCACTGGCCACAACTGCCACATACGTGTCTGCTTTCTGTCCACTCTCCCGATAGAGTTATATCCTTTTTTCATTTTCTTTTTTTTAGTGGCTGGACTCTAGCAAAATTTTTTGTGTGTGTGTGGTACGCGGGCCTCTCACTGTTGTGGCTTCTCCCGTTGCAGAGCACAGGCTCCGGACGCGCAGGCTCAGCGGCCATGGCTCACGGGCCCAGCCGCTCTGCGGTATGTGGGATCTTCCCGGACGGGGGCACGAACTCGCGTCCCCTGCATCGGCAGGCGGACTCTCAACCACTGCGCCACCAGGGAAGCCCCATCTTTGCAAATATTTTGTTGAGGATTTTTGCTTCTATGTTCATGAGTGATATTGGTTTGAAGTTTTCTTTTATTCTCTTGGTTTGGGTTTCATATTGGTTAATGGTAGCTTCATAAAATGAGCTGGGCAGTATTGCCTGTATTTCTATTTCCTGGAAGTGACTGTGTAGAATTGGTGTTAGTTATGTCCTAATTTTGGTTAGAACAGGGTTTATGTTGTTAGGACAACATAGATGTTCTTTACAGCTGAGTCTTTTCCTTTTCTGTGCAATGTTTCATCTTCCCTGAAGAAAATAATTCTTTTTTTTTTTTTTAGTATTTCTATGTCCATATTACTAATTAACTCTCAAATTCTCCCCAGTGGTGTGAATCTCTTATCAACAAATTCAAACATATTTTTCAGCTCCTTGAAAAAAATGACTTCCAGGGCTTTGCACCCTGTTCCATGTGGACTGGTTGATTTCTGGGTTTGCTGCAGCTCTGGTCTACCTCTCTCGTGTTCCAGACGCCCTCTGTCCAGTACCCCAGGTCTTAGCTTACAGCTTTATCCTGGTTGGGTATATCCTTCAATAGTTTCCATGGGAGGGAAATTCTTAAAACCTTTCATGTCTGAAAATGTTTTTATTCCACCCATTCTCTTCATGTGTTAGTTTTGTTGGCTGTCGAATTCCAGGTTTTGAGGGCATTGCTTCATTGACTGCACGTTTCGGTAGTGCTATTGGAAAATACAGTGCCATTGCCATTGTGGGAAACCTGTTTTCCCATCCCTGCCTACTGCTAGCTTAGGACTTTCTCTTGATCCCCAGTATTCGATGTGTCTTGGTGTGGAGCGTCCATCTGTTGTACTGGGTGAAAGCCCTTCCATCCTCATAACTCAGGTCCTTCAGTTTGGGAAAATAGTCCTAAATTATTTGATTTCCTTCCCACTTTTTTTTTCGATTCCTCTTTCTGGAATGCCTATTATTTGAATGTTGGACCTATCTACTTGTTTTTCTGTCCTTTTTCCATCTTTTGACCTTCTTCTGGGAAAATTCCTCAACTTTGTCTTTGAAACTTTCTACTGAATTTACCATTTCCGCTGTCATGTACTTAGTCATCTATACCATAGTTCTTTTTTGGGTCTCTGAATATTTATTATTGTATCTCGTTCATCCTTCTGAGGATATTATAGGATTTTTAAAAAAAGAGCTCCCTACGCAGTCTCTTAACGAACTGCACACATGCATCTTGTTTACTTTGGCCTCTGGTATTATTAGATGCTTTCCTTGAATGTCTGCTGTCCGTCCGTATTTAAGGGTGAGGCGCTCTAGGGCTGGAGGTTCTGATACCTGGGCAGGACTTCTCTACTTGGGTGTCTGCAGATGGCTGTTTCCCCATCAACGCCCAGGGTCAGCATGTCCAGGCCTTTCCTTGTGGGCTGGTTAGAGCCCCAGGAAGTCTTCCTGCCTGGAAGTCACGCACCTCGTTGACCTCATCCCAGAAGGCTTATTTCTGAAAGAGGGTTGGGGGTGCCAACATCCAATGGGTTTAACGTGATCCTTGCCATTTCCACATGGTGCCTGGCACCCACCCTTCAAGCCTCCCCCCAGTCCAGAGAACATCTATGGAGGCTTGGGATAGGGAAGAGAATCCTGGGGGGGTGCATTTTCCTGTTTGTTGCCCCACCGTCCCCCCCGCTCCTTGAGTCACCTGGTTGTGCAGCTTCCTGAGCCACGGGCGCTGTGCTGTCAGCCGGGTTCCTGCTCAGCCTTCCTGGCTGCCAGTTTGGGACCTGGCTAAATGAATGTGTTCCCTCTGCCATCTTGAGCTGGAAGTTTAACTGGAAGTCCAAAGGTTTTCTTTTTTCTGTCCTTTTTCTATGTAGTTTATTACGTTTTTCTTAATGACATGTTTTTACCTGTATTTTCTTATTTTTACATATAAGGGCTTTGGAAGCAACTTATTTTTTCTGAAAGGCATCTTCAGTATTTTTAGGAGTTATGTCATAATTTTAAAGATGAGTAGTAAGAGTAGCATTTATTGAGTACTTACTGTGTGTCCTGTCTCCTGGGTAAGTGCTTTCTGAGGGTCATCTTGTTTAACCCTCACACCTCTGGAGGTAGTTCCTGTTATCCTCTCCATCCTAAAGACGGATGCTGAGGCCCACGCGGTCACATCACTCGCACAAGGGCCCCAGCTGGGAGCAGCAGGCCGTCCGCTTCCCCTGCCACTGTCGCCACACCCTGCTCCTGTGCCGTCCTCCACCTCAGATCACTGTCCTTCCGCCGGAAGTACCTCCTCTGGGGTTTTTAGGGAAGGAGGTGCTGCTGTGGTTCAGGTCCTCTGCACCCCCGGCCCAGAGCTCTGGCAGCAGGCGGGCTGGGGTCTGGTCCCCACAGAAGGCAGTCAGGATGCCCCCAGACTTCTTACGTGGTTCACGTGCATTTGGGCCAAGAAGCCTTTGAGCCCAGCGTGGGCACCTAACCAGACGTGTAACACTTCTCTGAAGAAATGGATCTCACAGTTTTAAAGCTGAGTTTAATTCTCTAAATAAGTAGTTTTCTGAATGATTTTATGTGTGTGCGTGTGTGTGTGTGTGTATAATAAAAATCTAAAAGTGACAAAGGGGATGGAGACAAAAAGTCTCTTTCCCATTGTCTGCAGACAAGCTGTGTATCTCCAAGAGGTAAGCATAAACCCCACTCCATGGAAGCACAGTTTACGCTCTCCTGAACTTGACTGTCTTGGAGAGTAATGACAACATGGTATTCCACTGTAATAGACGTACCACAGTCAACTGAGTAATTCAACATTTAAGGTACTTCTAGCATTTTTGGCAGTTGGCTTTAAAAGTTAACTACTGGAACACTACCCATTCATAAACTGGAGATGCTTGTAATGAGACAGATTCTTTAATTTACTTATACAAAACAGCAGCAGAAATTCGAAGTAGTCTGTCTGCACTGAGACCTAGTTTTAATGTACTTTTTTGGAAAACTAAAGTTGTTTAGGAAGTTATTTGGAGTTTTTTCTTCAAGACTATATTACAAAGTAACTTCAAAATATTTAGTTTGAGGCTAAAAAGTATTTGAAATAAATGTTAAGAGACCACCATGAAAATACTAAGTAAATTCAGGCCATGGGCTTCATAACCCTTGTCCTAATAATGTTTTACATTTTTTTTTACCATGAAAAGCACATTTATCCTTTCATACTTTAAAATTATGAGTTGTAGATTTGTAAACAGTAGATTCCTTAAAAGTGAGGCAGTAGAAAGTCTTCTTTCAAAATGTACTGCTGTTATTACTTCAGTTTGCATTATTGTTTCCTTTAAGAAAATCTGGACACGGGGACTGTGGCTTTTCAGTGAAGTGGTTATTGACGCCATGTGCTGTCACAAAGCCCAGTCACGAGTTGGCTCCTTCTGTTCCAGAGTAGCATGTGTGAGTGCCCCCAGCGTTTACCAGAAGCTGCGAGAGCTGCACAGAGACGACTTTTCTATCTGCATCTTCGAATATGACCACAGGTTTGCCATATACGGAGAGGAGTTTATCTTCTATGATTACAATAACCCAGTGGATTTACCTGAGAAAATTGCTGCACACAGTTTTGACATTGTAATAGCAGATCCCCCTTATCTCTCTGAGGAATGTCTCAGAAAAACGTCGGAAACCATCAAGTACCTGACCCGGGGCAAGATTCTGCTGTGCACAGGTAGGTGCCAGATTGGCAACACACATCCCATGACTTTAATAAACAAGGTTCTTCCCCTCTCTGTGCCCCAGTCGCCTTATCTGTACAGTGGGGCTGAGATGCTGCCTGCCTCTCAGGGTTGGGGAGAATTAAGTGGCATGATGCCTGGGAATCGGGGTTCGCCACTGGGTGAGTGCACCAGGAGTGTTACTTGTACTCATCAACGGCAGTAACAGTAACAGTATCTCACTCAGCCCGTACAATTGATAAGGAATCTCGGGCGTTAAAGTGGATGCCAAAGGTTACAGCGCTAGACATTAGATTAGGTTTACCAAAGCTGAGAAAGAGACTTCCGCACTGGTGATGTGGATATATTTTCTTAAGGTGGATATACTGGCATTTGACTGAGAACGAAAACGTTAAGTGCTGGTCTCCCTACTTCCGGGCAGCTTGGCATCCAGGCCTGCTGTGTGGGCCCTGCTTCCCCCAGTGCAGTGGGTGCGGAGGACAGGGCTGGAGGGAGGAATGGGCTGGTGTGAATGTATTGGTACAAGTTTGCACGATTTGCTACTATTGAAAAAGGGGTTGTTGACTCGAAGTTGGAAAATGGTGGTTTTTAGTAATTATTTTTGCTTTCCTTATGTTACTTTGTGGAATATAATTATTATCTCAGCCTTGCAGATGTAGGAAAATTATTAAATGAAAAAGAAAGAAAAGGGAAAACATAGGTAATATGCATAAATGTTGGAGGAAGTAAAAAAGGAATATAGAGCACTGACCTGCCCCCTTATCGCTGAGTGGTACCGTCAACTCACCGCTTCCCGCATCTGGTCGAGAATACCTCCCTGGCCGGCCTGGTGGGTGTGGAGCTGAGACATGGTTGGTGCCTCAGTCTCCGGGTTCATCTGGTTGTTCTCTTCAGGTGCCGTCATGGAGGAAGAGGCAGCAAAACTTCTTGGAGTGAAGATGTGCAAGTTTATTCCAAAACACACTCGAACCTTGGGAAATGAATTTCGCTGTTACGTGAATTATGATTCTGGGCTGGACCGTGAACTGTGAACGCAGCTGGTAATACAATGTAGTAAAGGACCCATGTGACATTTCCCTCTTTTTATTTTCTTAGTAGATTGAAAAGCTACGGCCTCCCCTCCGCCCTCACAAACTGGGGCTCCCCCGGCCTAACTTTCAAGATGAAGAAGACAACATCTTGTTGTGATTTCCTTAGTGAGGGCATCCCTAGAGCTTGGGATGCTTGTGCCAACTTGAGTCAGTGGAATTATATTTGGAGAAGCCATAGAAGCCATCTAGTCTACTCTCCACTTAACGCAGGTAAAGAGCAGAAGTACAGGCGGCTTAGTGATTGGCCAGGACCTTGGCCTCTGCCTTGGGCGCATCCTGTGTACTACGGGTGGCTGCGGACACCTGCGTGTGCTTTGACAGCCATGCGGTTTGGAGTTTTAGCTGAGGACGAGGGTTGTGTCCAGTTCGCAATTGCCTTCCAGGAGCTCAGTGCCCAGAAGAGGGCACATGCTCAGTAAGTATTTGTTGAGTGTTCCAGTCAGAGAAAAAATGCAAATACAGGTTGCCTTTCTAGATCTTGGAAGGGAAAGCTGATTCTTCCATTGGAAATGCGTTACCTGTTAACAGCTAACGTTAGTTAAACTGATGCTTAATACAGTTTATGGAATAGCAGTATTATCCCCATGCAAGCCATTTACTCTGCTTCAGTCCGCTCCTCTGATGTCTGCACTATTTACATTTGAGGAGTGGCTAGAAAATGTTACACCACAGTGGCAATGCTTGAAATAATTACCCAAGGTTTGAAAGGCAGTTTTTCTTTTTAATTTGTGGATTTCTTTGTTGACGTATGCTAGATATACCACCACTAGGCTTACCTTTTTTTTTTCCCCAGAGGTTGAGCACAGAAGTAAAGTTCCCCAAATGGTATAGAACTACCCACAGCTATCAATTTCAATTTTGAATTTTTTATTTGGAATTTTGCTCAGCAGTGTTTTTCATGCACAACCTCTGTCAATATTTGGTACAGATTGAAAGTTCTCTCGGTTGACCTTCTGTCCAGATCAAACCAAGACTGATTGTAAGTAGGGACAAGAGCATATAAACGAGGCCGACTCTGCAGATCATCTTCCTTGAACGTTAACCATAAAATTAAGATACAGTGATAAACCTTAATTACCACTGTTGCCTCTGAAAATTAGTGGAGCCCTTAGTGGAGCCCAGAGAGAAATGCACAGCCAGCATGCCCTTCACCTACAATTGTTTTAAGGATTTTAAAGAACTTTTAAGCCTAAAGAAAAGGGTAAAGGTTTAGCTCACGTTGCGGTCGTAGAAGAGGACTCCACTCCTGATTTCTGGGAATCGTAAGTCTGCAAGTGAAAAAAATTTCTAATTGTATAAACCTTGTTAAGTGTGAGATTCTGGGGTGAGCTGAGCCTCCCAGAGGGAGGGCAGGTCCTAGGCAGCCATGTCCACTGGTGACCGTCGGCAACAGGCGGGGTTCAGGGACCCAGGCCACAAGGCGGGCTAGAGGGTGTGCTTCTAAAAACTCCTGCCGAGGAAGTGAAAACAATGTTTATAAAATGTTTACATGTCAAGTAAAATGTTTTTAATATACTTGCTCAAAATGGCTAATATAAAAAGTTTCTGCCCCTACTGAAAATACCTGAATAAACAAGAAGGTATATATTCTACTTTTTTAAAAAAAGGTGGTAAGTGTTTGTTGTCCTCGAGGCTCTGTGCCCTCCCAGCAGTCCTTGCAGTGCTATCACCCGTGGTTGCAAGGGGCCGGTGGCCGGGAGCCTCAATGAACTCTGGCGAAGCGGGTCACCTGTGGTGGCCCCAGCCTTGGGCCGCCCACACAGGGCTGCGACGTGGTTGGTTCCCGCCACCTTTCACCGCCCTGCGCTCCTGCCGAAGAGGAAGCCTGGGGGATGCAGGAGGTCAGGCTCACACGCAGTCCAGTCCAGTCCAGCGCTGGGTGCTCCGTCCGAGTTTCCTCGGGGTCCCCGGATTGGGGATGGGTGCTCAGGGCCGGGCCGGCTTGTCCAGGCTGGAGTTGGCGCCGTCTGCATCCTTGTCTGGCCCGGGCACGCAGGTGCAGCCCACGGGGATGGTGACGTACTCCTCGGTATAGACGGCGCGGCCGCCCGCGCAGGCCGGGGTCCGGCGCAGGACCACCGCGGGCACGAGCACTGGGGCGCTGCGCAGCCGCACATCCTCCTCCCCGCGCGGCCCGGTCAGGCAGCCCCGGCACAGGCAGTAGGCCTCGGGCAGGTACCTGGGGAAGCGGCCGGGGTCGTAGGAGATCCTGCAGGGAGAGGACGGGCCCTGAGGGCTTGGCTTCTGGGCCGGTGGGGCTGGGGTCACTGACTACGCGAGGGGCTGAAGCCGAGCAGCCCCTGGCCTTCACTGTATTAAAGTGAAGACGGTTGACGGCCGCCACGTTCCCTGAAAACGCTCAGACTCTGCACCAGTGCCCGCAGGACAGGTGTACACCACACAGCCCGCGTGCTCCATGAGATGCCCCCAGCCACCCTGCTCTGGGCCCTCACCACCCCACGGGCCCAGGCTGGGCCGACCCTGGCCTCCCCGCCACTGACAGAGCCTCAAGCAGAGGCGGCTGCCAGACACTACCTGTCCAGGAGACCCTGCATCCCACTCTCCATCAGGGTCCACGTGCCCTCCCTCCCGCGTGTGGGAAAGGGGCCGAGTCACAGCAGGCGGTGGGGGGCGGGCAGGAAGGACTGGCTGCCCAGGACAGGTGGGAAGTGAAGGATGCCTTGAACTGGACCACTTCCGTGTTCCTCCAGGTCTCCCTGCTTTCTGGTCAGATGCCAAGACCCAAGTGTCGGCACCCAGGACGATCCTGTGGCTGCTGGCTGGACCCTGCCCTCGCCTCCCTGAAACCAGGAGGTCACTGATGGAACCCAGGGCTCCTCCCTAACGTCCCCTTGTATGGGGACGCTTGCCCCACCTCATGGGATCGCCAAGACCCCAAACTCTCATTTCTGTTCATCTGCCTTCTTACTTTTGGAGCTGGGTCCTTGTGACGCTGAAGTCTGAGTCACAGCCGTGACCTGACCTCGCAAGGGACACGCATCCATACGTCCACAAGCACCACGCCCGGGAAGGCCCCCGAGCGCTGGCCCGAGGGGAGCCGAGGAAGGAAACGGGCCAAGCAAGATGTGCCCAAGCGTGCCCACCCCTGGGACCTGGGGCTCCGCGGGGAGGGCGTGGCCAGGCTTCCAGAAGCTTCTTGTCCCTCACACGCAACTTCTGTGGACTAGTGTCCCTCGGCCCTCACCGTGCAGGACTGCAGGGCACCAGCCAAGCTAAGAAGTTTCCAGATGAGAAGGACCTTCTGAGAACCAGTTAACGAAAGCGCAGAGGTGGGAAGGCACACAATGGGTGAACTGGGCAAACTGGGCCGGGAGGCAGAACCTGACCAGCTGTCAAGCGTGGGGGACTGGAGGCCGCGTCAACCGGGCCAGCTGCCCATGGCCTGTGGACAGCCTCAGGAACGGTATCTTCACGCTTGACACCAACTGCATGCCACTTACACAGCAGCAAAGAACTAAGGCAGGGTCAGGCCTGGGCCCGAGCTGGGCCCGAGGGAGGGAGGAGGCCGGTGGGGAGGGGCGGGGCGGGCCTCAGGATGCGACCAGACGGAGGGTGGTGCTTCAGGGACCACACGGCCCTGCCCCTGAGCATCCCAGAGCCCAGAGGGACATTTCTGAGTCCTTGGCCACCATGTGGATGTGGGGATGAGGTCAGGGGAGAAGTCGGGGTGACCAGGAAGATACAACGGGGGGCAGGGAGGCCTGGCTCTGACTCCCTTCTCACTGCTGTGCAAGGAGGGGCCCTGGAAATCTGTGCGCCAGGAGGAGGGCAGCGGGGCCGGCCTGCGAAGGCACCTGCCTGCCCCCGGGACACGGAGACCCACAGCAACCCCACCCGGCCCGCATTACCACAAGCAGGTGAAAATCTTTTATAAGCGTCTCATCGCTTTTCCCTCAGTGCTGCCTTTGGAAGAACTTTACTTTTCCAGCTTTTCCACCCCCATAATGCCTCATTCCCACCCCCTCCCGGGGCACAGGCCCCCCCACACCCCCTGTCGGGCAGGGGCGGTCATGTCAGGAAAAACCCCAGTTCCTCGGCTTCGCCTTCAGAGGCCTCCACGACCTGCCCCTCGCCCACATACCTTCCCAGCCGTCCGCGTGCCCGACACCCGCCCCCAGAGCGGGACGCCTGGCAGGGGCTACGGCTAAGCTTTGGCTCAAGATGAACTCTCCCCCAGACCAATCTCAACTCAGCAAAGACTTGCCGTGTTTTAAGGTCCAATGCAAGTCATTATCTTCATTATCTTCCAGAGTTTTCAGATTTCTTTCGTCAGATTTAACCTCTTCTTTCCCCATATTCTCATAACACCTTGGGCCTCTCAGACAAAACTGCACATTTTCCACGTCTTCCCCTGGGAGGGAAGGGTAAGGACTGTATCTGGACTCACTCTCATGCTCTAACAAGCCCACCACAGCGCCTGCATAGAGGAAGAGTTCAGTAGACGGTAAGAGGGTGGTGGTGAGTCTGGACTCCTCAGCTTCCTGTCCTCCAGACCCTTAGGTCAAGATTAGACCCTAACTTACATTGAAGGAAAAGGAATTTATAATGTCTGCAATCACATTCAACATTCATTCAACAAACACCTAAGGGCCAGTGGTGTTTCAGGCAGTAGGAATATAGATGAAATACTATAATAATCTACCATCCAAGGACTCACCCTCTCAGGGGATAAATATACAAAGAAACAAAGAGTTAAAGCAGGCCATCACAGCAGAGGAGGCTTCCTGGTAAAGTGGAACCTGGGTGGATTCATCCAGATGAGGAAGGAGAAAGGGCATTTAGGGCAGAGGTCAAAGCCTAGATGTGAGGGACCACGTCAGTTATAGGAGCCGCAGCACAGGAGAAGAACCAAGAGCTGGGGCTGGAGCCATCTGGGGGGGCCTCCAGGGGGGCCTCCAGTTCCTAACAGGAATTTGGATCTGACCCTGAAGGCAAGAGGAAGGATGTTAAAGAGAAGTGACCCCGTCAGACGGAATTTTAGGTCCCTCAGACTAGAGTGGAAGCCGGTCTGGAGCCCAAGAGAGATCTTGGCTGGAGACGGAGATTTTTAAATTATTAGATATGAATAGTAGTTAAGTGAGATCATTCACATAAGTGTATAGATACCAAATAAAAGAAACTCAACAGAGGTTTCATTCCAAGAGGGAAAAAAGAGGCAGGGGAACCTAAATATTAAAAGAGCCTTGAGAAATCATCAACAAAATGAAAAGGCAACCCACTGAATGGCAGAAACTTTTTGCAAAGCATATATCTGATAAGGGGTTAATATCCAAAATACAAAGAACTCATATAACTCAATACCAGAAGAACAATCTGATTAAAAAATGGGCTCAAGACCTGAATAGACATTTTTCCAAAGAAGGCATATAAATGTCCAATAGGCACTTGAAAAGATGCTCAAACATCGCTCATTATTAGAGAAACGCAAATCAAAAGCACCTCACATCTGTCAGAATAGCTATTATCAAAAAGACAAGAGGACTTCCCTGGTGGCGCAGTGGTTAAGAATCCACCTGCCAATGCAGGGGACATGGGTTCGAGCCCTGGCCCGGGAAGATCCCACATGCCGCGGAGCAACAATGCCCATGGGCCACAACTACTGAGCCTGCGCTCTAAAGCCCATGAGCCACAACTACTGAAGCCCACACACCTGGAGCCCGTGCTCTGCAACGAAAGGCCTGTGTACCACAATGAAGAGTAGCCCCTGCTCGCTGCAACTAGAGAAAGTCCGTGCGCAGCAACGAAGACACAACACGCCCCCCCACCCACCCACCCAAAGACAAGAAATAAGTTGGTGAAGATGAGGAGAAAAAGGAAACTCTTGTGTACTGTTGGTGGGAACATAAGTTGGTGCAGACACTGGAAAATAATATGGAGAATCCTCAAAAAAATTAAGAATAGAATTACTAAATAATACAGCAGTTTCACTGCTGGGTATTTATCCAAGGAAACAAAAACACTAACTTGAAAAGACGTATGATCACTGCATTATTATCACAGCATTATTAGAACAGCCAAGACATGGAAACAACCTAAGTGTCCATTGAAAGATGAATGGATAAAGAAGATGTGGCATATATATACAATGGGATATTACTCAGCCATAAAAAGAAACGAAAATGAGTTATCTGTAGTGAGGTGGATGGACCTAGAGTCTGTCCTACAGAGTGAAGTCAGAAAAACAAATACCGTATGCTAATGCATATATATGGAATCTTGAAAAACAAAGAAGGTTCTGATGAACCTAGGGGCAGGACAGGAATAAAGACGCAGACATAGAGAATGGACTTGAGGACATGGGGAGGGGAAGGGTACACTGGGACAAAGTGAGAGAGTGGCATGGACATATATACACTACCAAATGTAAAATAGCTAGTGGGAAGCAGCTGCATAGCACAGGGAGATCAGCTCGGTGCTTTGTGACCCCCTAGAGGGGTGGGATAGGGAGGGTGGGAGGGAGGCACAAGAGGGAGCAGATATGGGGACATGTGTATGCATATGGCTGATTCACTCTGTTATACAGCAGAAACTAACACAGCATTGTGAAGCAATTATACTCCAATAAAGACGTATAAAAAAAACAATATAGCATATTCGAGAGTTGCTAAGAGAGTACATCTTAAAATTTCTCATCATGCACAAAAGATGTGTAACTCTGTGGTGACGGACGTTAACTCGATTTACTGTGATCGTTTTGCCATATATGCAGATACTGAATCATCATACTGCACACCTGTAACTAATAACACGTCAACTGTATCTCAATTTAAAAAACGGAGCACCTTGAGCAGAGTGATAGAAGTACTGGGGCATGCTGACCTGGTTCACACGAGCCGACTAGGTGCAGCTAGGAGTCGAGCCCCAGTTCGCAGGTGTTTCCGTTCGGATGAGAAACCATATGGTTGCTTAAAAAACATATCAAACCCTTAGGGACACTGGACAAAACAAAGGGAAGTGTCACAGCCACGAGAGACAAAGGACTGAGGGACTGTCACAGACTGAAGGGCCCTGAGCTGCAGAGGCTGGACCCTGGGGCAGGGAAGAGGCACGAGTAGGAACCCTCTGAAGGTCACAGTTCAGAATATGGCGCCATATCCACACAGCGCCTCATCTTGGTAACTTTGCTGAGCTGTGATGCTGACATTTGGGCAGTCTGGGTAAAGGGTACAGGGATTTCCTTGTACTAAT